CTCGATCACTTCCTTCTTCTTTCGCAGGATGCTCAATTACATGACTCCTGGAGTATTCGAATGAGGAAGCTTTCATAGATTTTTCTTTTGATAGACAAAGTGCGACCACTGCGAAAGATTCTCCGACAAGTTATGCTAATATTCTTAAGAGGCACAAATCTCATCTCTGATTCTCGTGGAATGGTCGTTTTGGTATTATATAGTTTCTCTTCTTCCTCATCTCTTTCTTGTTCTTTGGACTCATGTAATTGTATTAACTTCAAAATTCTTTGAACTTTTCAGACTGGAATCTTGCCTCCGTTTGTACCGTTTACTCAGGCATTTGCAGCTACTATTACAGCCGCTCTCACTGGTTCTCTCTATTACATTGCTGCTTGCCCTACCCTTAAAGGTTTTCTCGCTACTCTTATAAACTAATAACCTATATGAAAAAAGCTTTGACCTCCTAGCTAATCTTGTTTTGTTGTTTCTCTTAGATCCAACTTATATATTGACACAGCGGTGGATGGCGTTGCAAAGCCGTAAACTTTCTCTTGTTGGTGAGGCGGATAGTCCATGTAGAACCGGTCTTGGATCTCCTTAAGCCCTTCCATTCCTAACTACATCGCGTTATTCGCCTGAGCTTCAACAGAAGAAAATAGATCAATGCCTCTTCAACTTTATCAATTCGAGCAATCCTTCATATATACAAAACCATACCTTGTGAGCTAAACCGATGTGGAAAAGCTTTCCAGTAAAATGAAGCTTCCACGGAATCGAACCGCCGGTTCCAATACATGGTTGCTTATCCTATTAATCCAAAACCTTCGAAAGAATAAGCATAAGAAAGCTTTTTCAGTCATCCTCCAATGTTATGTCCATAAACCTCTCCAATAAAAAGAATGGAAACTCACAAAGGTCTGAATTTGAGCTCATCGAGAAGTTTGTCTTTAACCAGTAAGTCAACACCAACACCTGGAATTGAAGAGTTCTCTTTTGCTGGCGATGAAAACTGCTACATCAGATGATTTCAGCGCCGGTTTGGTCTCGTCAAGCCTGTTCATGAGCTCGGTCACAAGAGCAACATGGCCAAGACAATCTGTAGTCCCACGACCTCGAAGCTTTTCGCCATCTATGGTTAGGGAGAAATGATCAAATTCATGTGAACAAACAACTGAAATCAAATGGAGTATCAACATTGTAATTCTTCAAAACTTCAAATCAATCGAGCAGTAGAATCCAATAATCATAAAAGAGAAATTGATGTTGCTGATACTTCACAGTAATCAATTAAGAGTTAAAAGGAGAGAAATGATTGAAAATTTTGAACATTTGACGTTATTTCTTCACAAAATGGAATCAGTGAAACTATGTAACTCGATAATCATAGTGTAATTCTTTACAAATTTTAATCAACACACTAAAAATCAGTTTTTTAAAAGTTAGAATTCGAAAGAAAAAAATTTCAGTATCGCTGATACTTTATAGTCCTTGAATTTTAGAAACCGATTAAACCCTAGAGTACACAAAAGAAGAGAAATATTTGATTTTTTTTTGGGTTTTTTAATGGGTTTGGGGAAAAAAAAATAAATGATTGGGTTTTTAATGGGTTTGGATAAAAAAAAGTTAACAAAAATTAGTATATGATGTGTGTTATTAAAATGTTTTGATTGGTGATTTTTTTGGTTGAAGTGTCATAGAAAACTTGAAAAATCTGATGTGTCAAACTATGGAGAGACACAAGGATTATTGTTGTGTTGATTACTATTGTAATTTACTATAAATATTCTTTAAGAAAATTATTTATGATCTTTCTATTGTTAGAATACAAAGTTTTTGGTGTTCTCAAAAGATAAATTTCCGCTATATTTTTTTGCAATATATATATATATATATATATTTTGTTTTTTTGGACAAATAAAAGTAAAATAGTTCATATATATATATATATAATTTTGAATCACTCATAACATTTAATATGCACTGATTATATTTTATTACAAGACTCATAGGCTAAATATATAATATAGTAATATTTTTATTAGTTGAAAGTTTCAACTGAAACCTCTATATAAATATTTTATGATATTTAAATAAAGTAAGACTATATAATAAAGAAATTTTCAGCCTCGCTATCCCACCAAAGAGAAATTTCATCATTTAGTTTGTAACGTTTTGCCGTCACAATATTCTTCCAGTTCTCTGTAAAATAATAAGCAACTAGGTAATTACCCGCACCATATGCGGAATAAAATAATAATTTATTTAATATAGTATAATTTTAAAATCATATAACAAAATACAATTTATTTTATATGAGTTGTTTATAACATTATGCTGTAATATTGACAAAATATTTTTTCTTGTTTATTTTATGAAATATAAGGTAATTTAATTCTAATGTAAATTAGATTAAAAATTAAATATTTATGCGCAATCTGAATAGAAATATGAAGTCGCTCTTTATATTTTCTATAACCGATGATTAATAACATGATTTTAAAATTCAAAAAAATAGAGGGAGTATATTTTGATTAAATTATTAAGTATCTAATGCATTATGATAATAATAAAAAAAAATTACTACTTCCTCTGTTTCATAATTTTTTTAAGGTTTTATTTTGTTTCACAATATATTTGTTTTCATTTTTTACTACTTCCTATGAATACTATGTGACCGATTATATTTTTCAGTTTTTTATAATTAGTTGAATTATATTTAATTTATATACTAAATGATTACTTTTTAGAAAGAAAAGTTGCTTTTAATCTTTGTGCTTTGATGTAAAATAATTTATATTTTGAAATAGAGAGTATTAAAATTGTAAAAAATAAAATTTGATTATAAGATTCTATAATCGATTTTAATATTTTTTTTACAAATATAAATGTATATTTAGATTAATCTGCAAAAACCATAGTCATAAGAATATTAACTTTTAAGAAAAGAAAATTACTGTGAAATTTATTTTAAATACTAAATATACATAAGGATTATATAAAAATAGATTATATTTTTATTATTTTAGTACATTATCTAAAATTATATATAAATGAGTCAATACTTATACATTCTTAACTTTTTGATTCAATAAAAATATTTTTAATATCAAAAAGTTTAATAAAATTATTATATAATATCTTTACAAAAATATTTTAATTTTTTACCAAGTTTTTTTGTTGTATAAATTAAAAATTTATGATATTTAAATTTTTAATCAAATAAAATATTTATAATATTATATTCTATTAACATATTCAACTACTTTTTTATAGTTGAACTTTTTATTAATATTTTATACTTATTATAAAGTTTAAATATTTATATTATTTGGTTAATTTATATGGTTCTAAAACCATACGAAACCAAAAATAATTATAATAATAATATCTATTGAATTAAGCTTTTTGTTTTTTTTTATCATTTATGTATTTTTTATATTAATTTATGAATCATCTATCTACATATCCTTATTTTCAATTTTAGTCTTTCAAAACATACTTTTATTTATTAATCATTTGAGTAATTTATATTTTTTTTTATGAAATTCGAATTATAACACTATATATATATATATATTATTTTACTATATGAATGATGTGATGGTTTATTTTTCTACAAAAATAAAAGATAAAATATAGTATTTAAAGAAAGAATTAATATGATATTTTTTTGGTAAAAAATAAAAGAAAAGAATATCTTGATGAATCATCATCAATATAATTGATATAAACTAATGTATAACCAAATTAATGTGAGTGGCATAACATGTAATTAATCTAGTAACATAAGTCTATTTTTATAACTTTGCTGAAAATGATTCTAGTGATGATACATCAGCAAAATAACATCATTGTAATATTTTACAAAATTAAGATTATTCTTTAAAAATGTTTCTCTTTTAATATATAGGGGATGTGAGAACCATTTTTGTATATTACTAATGTTATATGGTAAGTAGCACCCTGCACATCTTTCACCATTACTTCAACACTATTTCCCAAGTTTTTTACTAACTCATAATCCATTTCTGGAATTACAAATCGTTCAAACTCTTCTTTTGGCAGACATAAAGCACTAAGAAGATCATTATGTGTTAAATTCTTCTTCATGACTCTTGAACTAAGTGTACGTAAACTCAATTCCAAATTTGCCATTCTCTTACTAATTTGGTAGCAATGATTTTTTTTGGTAAATGTGAAAGATTATAATGGGATTGAGAAACAAAGCTCATCATCTTTGTTTATATATAGTTCTGTGTCAAAATAATTTCTTCTTTTTTCTATTTTGTTATAGCTTTTGGTATTTTTTTAATCTAAAGGTGTTTACATTAAATGAGCTATAGATTTTGTTTTTCCTTGTCACTGTTTTTAGTGTTTTTTTATCAATGTTTACAAAACAAATTTCACCTGTTTAATAATTTTTTTTAAAATGAGTTTGCATTTTTTGGTAAATTTATAATCTAAGACTTGTTTTTTGGTAAATTTATATTCTTAGACTTTTTCTCAATGAATGATCAATTAGGCTTTAATCACTGCAAGAAAACACATTCGTGGATAATAAAGTGCTCATGGACAGAACTTTACATAATGATCTGAATATAACTAAAGAGTAAACAAAAGTACATTTGTGTGAGCCCTTTGTAAAAAAAGAAAAAGTTCGTTCTGGATCTTTTAGAATGCTATCTTTTAAAATTGATTGCAAATAGAAAATCTTAAATCTAGTTCTGATATAGATAAATGAATTAACAAAATGCATATATGAGATCACTCTAGTTTTACATAAGCAAATTAAGAAGTGGTTAGAGAAAAAAAAAAGAAGCAATTAAAAGTGGGAATTAACAAGGAGAGAGGAAGCTGCCAAGCCATGGATCGAATGTCTCTGACCTAATAATCTCCCAAGCCGTATCACACAAATCCTCAAAGGACACGTGTCCATCGCCCTTATTATTACTACCAATATTCTCACCACCGCCACTATCATCCTCGCTCAAATCAATGAAATTATCACCATGACTTGATCATAGTGGTCTCTCATCATCCATCTTCCTTCTTATTCGTCTTGGTCTCGTCAAGATTAGTAGCAGTAGTAGAAAAGGTTGGCCAAGACATGGATGACATGATCTTTGACATAACCTCCCATGTCGGAACAAACGCTTCCCATGGCATACTTTTGAGATTTTCCACCGAAACACCCAAATCCTCAAGTGATACATGTCCAGATCCAACTCGATCTTGATCTTTCTTGTTATTACTGTCACTGCTTCTCCAACTCGATCTTGATCTTTCTTGTTATTACTGTCACTGCTTCTCTCGTCGTCCTCGCACATGAAAGTATCACGATGACTTAATAATGATGATCTCTCATTGTCCTTCTTCTTCTTCTTCCTCTTGTTCTTGTTTTTGTTCGTCCTCTTGTTCTTCTTCTTCTTGGAACCATACACGCGGGCGCCATGATAAGACGGGCTTGGTCTTGGTCTTAATTTTGATAAAGCCCACGAAAGATATTCTATTTGGAGTAAATATTTATTAGTTTTTTTTTACAAATATATTAATATTTTTTAAATATATTTAGTATAATTTGATAAATTTTTATGATTGAGTCGAAAATTAATGATAGAATATATATATATATATATTTATTTATTATATATATAATATTTTGAATCATTCATATCATTTAAAATAGTACTGATTATTTTTATTACAATTCATAGACCTAATATATAATATAGTAATATATTTATTAGTTGAAAGTTTCAACTAAAACCTTTAAATAATATTTTATGATATTTTAAATAAGGTAAAACTATATAATAAAAAAAATTCGGCCTCAGTATCCCACCAAAGAGAAATTTCATCATCTTTTTTATAACATTTTGCCGTCACAATATTCTTCCAGTTCTCTGTAAAATAATAAGAAATATGAGAACCTTTTTTGTATTTTACTAATGTTATATGGTAAGTAGCACCCTGCACATCTTTCACCATTACTTCAACACTATTTCCCAAGTTTTTTACTAACTCATAATCCATTTCTGGAATTAAAAATCGTTCAAACTCTTCTTTTGGCAGATATAAAGCGTTAACAATATCATTATTTGTTAGTTTCTTCTTTATGACTCTTGAACTATGTGTACGTAAACTCAATTCCAAATTTGTCATTCTCTTACTAATTTGGTAGCAGTGATTTTTTTTGGTAAATATGAAAGATTATAATGAGATTAAGAAACAAAGCTTATAAATTTGGTAGCAGTGATTTTTTTTGGTAAATAATGAAAGATTATAATGACTATAAATTTGTCATTATCTATGTTTATATATAGTTCTCTGTCAAAATAATTTCTTCTTTGTTTTTTTTTTCTAGTTTGTTATAGCTTTTAGTATTTTTTAAAAAATCTAAAGGTGTTTTACATTAAATGAGCTATAGATTTTGTTTTTCCTTGTCACTGTTTTTAGTGTTTTTTTTATCAATGTTTACAAAAACTTTTCCACCTGTTTCATAAAATTAAACGTGCTTCTTGATAATACTACATGTGTTAGCTTTATGATTTGCTAGATTTGTAACACATGCCTAACATTTATCATATTACTATATATGTCAATTTAAAATAACTCATTTTAGTTTCTTATTTAAATATATATATATATATATTTACATATAAAAGCTCATATTCAAGAAAAAAGAAAATCAAGAATTATGTTTTAGTAACCATAACAATTTGAAAGATTTGAATAAAATAAGAGTGAATCTCCTACCTATTAATTGACAATGTAGTTTAATGAATTATGCTTATTTGTTTTAATTTCATTGGTTAAAAATATCAATCTAACTTAATTAAATGTGATATAGAAATGATGATGTGTAATGATGATTTAATTGTGACTTGGCATATAAAAGCATATGTGGATTATGACATGGCAAAAAATATTTTTATGTTTAATTTATTTTAGTTCAAATAATTATTTTATGAAAATAGAAAAATAGAAAATATTTAATTGTTAATATAAATTAGAACAAGAAATGCGACAACCTTCCGATCAAGAAAATAGACAGAGTAAGAAACAAAATAAAAGTGAAAATGAAGCTTTCTAGAGAATAATTATTGGATTTAAAGAAAATTAAGTTTACCAAAAAGAAAATCTTGTAGACTTTATGATCAAGAAGAAACAGAGAAATGGAAACATTGACCAAACTATTTAACAAACTCTTCCATATGTTCTTATGTCTTCTACTATTATATACTGAAATGATCATATATCTGGTTTATACCGAAATGATCATACTGGGATCAACATGAGTTTCTTGAACATATTGGCCAAAATTTTGAGTGTTGTGGAATATGAAAGTACTAATTAATGATTCTTCCAAATCATGATATGAGAGTTATGAAAAGGCTACTGTAATGAAGTGACCACATGTTGCATTGAAGTTCATAAATTAGATAGACCCAAAACAGTAAAGTATCTGGTACACTCACTCTAGAAAAAGAGAACAACTTAAAGGGAAGGTTTAGGGCTTTGAGAGAGTAACGAGATCAATTCAACAAATCTCCAGGATACGTCTGGTTCTTACTTAGGTTTTAGTATACTGTTCTAGATTTCAATCGAGATAGATAGACAATCGTTTATGAACCTAGCAGTATCAGTTTTTCCATATAAACAAATATATATATTTAGCATAATCCAATACTTAATGTCAAATAAATTTCAACAGACTCAAAAGATCACAAAGCATATGAAATTCAAACGAAGGCAAAACAAAGGAAGAACCTTTTTTCCATTATAAAGGGGAAACCAGCATTTTTGCCAGTAAAAAGAGCTTGCACTTTATGATAATTTCGCCTAAATATAAACCAATTCTCGAAATTCATGAACAGTAACACAAACAATAAAGCCTAATTCCTAGAAAAATTCAACGAGGGTGACTAGCAAACATCAAAATTAAAATAGGAGTTTATCTAATTACGCAGTCAATTTCAGATTTCAAACAGAAGAATACGATTTATATATCTCTAATAAGAAGCAGTATATGGTTTTACTTGAAATACAGAACTCATGACTATTACTCTCTATTCAAATGAGGCCACTTTCAGGTAATACGCAGATCCAATAACAGCAGCTAATTATAAGAACTAATTGTCACTTTTCCATCAACGAAAGCGCAAAATAAATCTGACAAAGAGGAGAATTCATATCGTAGAAGAAGAAAGATTCGGAGAAAGTATTAGTACAGTTCCTAAAAATCGTTTCTAAAAATTGAAGGAAGAAAGCGAAATAGAAAGATTATAGGAAGACAAAGAAGATGAAAAACATATGTTCAAAAAGAAAAAGACAAATAAGATAAAATTTGCAGGTATGTTTGCTTGATCTGCAAATCCGAAACAGGTAATCGGGTACCCATTTGACCCCGTAACATAGCGGTTAAGATTTACAAAGCTTAGTTATAAAAAAATACAACTTTGTGTTTTCTAAATTTAATTATTATTTTTTAGGTCTCTCTCAAAATATAAATAGACCTTTTGTTATAACAAAATGTTTAGTTAAAATTAGATCATATTATACAACTAAATTTAAAGACGTATAATTCAACACTGACCTTGAGTTTCATATACTACAAAAAATTAAAATATTTGATACGTTAAAAAATTAAAATAGTTAAAATATTTTATTATATTTAGGTAATTATATTCTTAAAACTGTTCATGCTCGTACATCCTAATATAATTATGAAAGTTAAGGCTCTGAAGATTTGTTTATAAACTTTACATTAGAAAAATGATAGTCATAATTTATTAAATAAATTTCCACAATATAGAAATTTTTAATATATAAATTAGATGCATCCCATGAATGTTTTTTATTTAAACAGTTCTGATTATTTTCGGGCTATATTTTTTTGTTGTGTGTGTGTGGATATGAATGCAGGATTGAAATGCTTATATCAAATATTATATTAAAAAGTATAGTTCCAATCTAAAAATATATATCAGAAGAAATTTTGAATGTAGTTTAACGTAATTTAAAAATTAATTATAATATTTGAAAAAATGCAATTTATATATTTTTGACTTATTTGAATTAAAAAAGTATTAACTAGAACTTTTCAATTACCAAGGTATGTAAAGAAGACAAAAAAATATTAAAATATTATTTAAACACAAAATTTTTTTTTAAAAAATGAGTTAGCATTTTTTGGTAAATTTATAAGCTAAGAATTTTTTTTTTTGTTTTAATGTTAAGATTTAGTATAATCTAAGACTTTTCTCAATAAATGGTCAAATAGGCTTTAATCACTGCAAGAAAACACATTAGTAGATAATGAAGTGCTCACGGACAGAACTATAGATAATGATCTGAATATAACCAAAGAGGAAACAAAAGTTCATTTGTGTGAGCCCTTTGTAAAAAAAAAAAAAAAAAAAAAAAAAAGAAGTTCGTTCTGAATCTTTTAGAATGCAATCTTTTAAAATTGATTGCAAATAAAAAATCTTAAATCTAGTTGTGCTATAGATAAATGAATTAACAACAAGATGCATATATGTTTTATGAGATCACTCTAGTTTTACATAATCAAATTAAAAAAGCGGTTAAAGAAAAGAAAAAAAGCAATTAAACATGGGAATTAACAAGGAGAGAGGAAGCCGCCAAGCCATGGATCCATTGTCTCTGACCTAATCTCCCACGCCGTAACATACAAATCCTCAAAGGACACGTGTCCATCGCCCTTATTACTACTACCAATACTCTCACCACCGCCACTATCGTCCACGCTCAGATCAATGAAAATTATCACGATGACTTGATGATAATGGTCTCTCATCATCCATCTTCCTTCTTATTTGTCTTGGTCTCGTCAAGATCAGTAGCAGTAGTAGAAAAGCTTGGCCAAGATATGGATGGCATGGTCTTTGACCTAACCTCCCATGTCGGAACAAATGCTTCCCATGACATACTCTTGAGATCTTCCACCGAAACACCCAAATCCTCAAGTGATACATGTCCAGATCCAACTCGATCTTGATCTTTCTTGTTATTACTCTCAGTGCTTCTCTCGTCGTCCTCGCACTTGAAATTATCACGATGACTTGATGAAAATGGTCTCTCATCGTCCTTCTTCTTCTTCGTATATTTCTGGTGAAGATCCTAATCATGCGCTCTCAATATCCCCTTCACCACACAACTTGTTGCAGCATCATTCTCCTTCGCCTTTGGTAACCCCTTCACCACGCAACTTAGTTCGTCGAAGGCTTTAAAGTCGTCCCACCAAGACACATATCTCGGCCTCTTCTTCTTCTTCGTATTCGTCTCATGAAGATCCTTCTCCTTCGCCTTCAATAGTCCCTTAACCACGCAACTTGACGCAGCGTTGTTCTCCTTCGCCTTCGATAACCTCTTCACCACGCAACTTAGTTCGTTGTGTTGGAATTTATTTTTGACAAATGGCTCAGGTAAAATTTTCGGTAACGTTTCCGGTGAGCACAATGACCTAAATAACCGTATTATGGATTCTTTGGATTCCTTGTAATGAGCATTATAAGATAATGTCTTTACTTTTTAAAAATGAAGTTGATTTAAATGAGAAATATTTGGTCAAAGTAGACATCTAATCAAGACAAAACGTCAACAATGTCAAGATGAACATTTGTCTCATATCGAAAGTTGGGAATTCATCATCTTTCAGAAAACACATTTGTAGATTATGAAGTGCTCACGAACAGAACTATACATAAGGTGCAAATGGTTGTATATGAAAGGAATAAGTTGAATGAGAGGAATAGTAATGAGTTGAATAAACTTGAGTTGGATAATATTACTTAGCTGAATGTGTTAAAAGAGGGGTAATAAATCGTAGAGGAATAAAACTTAAGAAAAATGGTAGCTATTTAGAGGAACATAAGGAAATAAAAAATAATAATACTATTTGTAAGTTAAATACTATCTTAAAAGTTATAGTACAATCTAACATGACGATTTAATAATTAAGAAAATATAATAAAAAATAGGGATAGTTGAAAAAATTTTATTAGAAGAAAAAAAAACTACTCATTACAATTATAAAAAAATAAATAGTTTTTCAAATAAACTCTAACATCGATGTCGAAAACTATATCGACTATCGAGCCACATATCCTCAGCAATTTTATCGCAGACAATCCTCATATAAGTTCCAGCTTCGGTTTCATCTTCCACTCCAATACCCTAATCATCATTTGCTTCATGAGTTGCATTTTGTTGTGCACGCTGAACCTTGTTTTCTCTGTCAGCTTCATCACAGTCAACATCTTTAATATTATTTCGGCGAATAAAACTGTGAAGACCCATTGTAGCAAACATAACATGCCTTTGTACTGCGATATTATACCTTAGAAACTCATTTAGAACTCTCCATTTTTTCTTCCAAACTCCATATGTCCGTTCTATAACTGAACGAAGGGATGCATGCCATCTATTAAACATCTTCTTACTATTTTTTGGCGGTTCCCCATTCAAAAATTCTTGTAGATGATACCTCGTGCCTGTATTGCTTTGTTTTCTGTATGGAGCCAAATATCTACGTTCATTTGTGTGAGCCCTTTGTAAAAAAATAAAAAAGTTCGTTTAGGATCTTTTAGAATGCAATCTTATAAAATTGATTGCAAATAAAAAATCTTAAATCTAGTTTTGATATAGATAAATGAATTAAAAAGATGCATAAATGTTTTATGAGATCACTCTAGTTTTACATAAGCAAATTAAGAAGCGGTTAAAGATAAACAAAAAAAAGCAATTAAACATGGGAATTAACAAGGAGAGAGGAAGCCGCCAAGCCATGGATCAATTGTCTCTGACCTAATCTCCCAAGTCGTAACACACAAATCCTCAAAGACACGTGTTCATCGCCCTTATTACAACTACCAATACTCTCACCACCGCCACTATCGTCCTCGCTCAAAACAATGAAATTATCACGATGACTTGATGATAATGGTCTCTCATCATCCATCTTCCTTCTTATTCGTCTTGGTCTCGTCAAGATCAATAGCAGTAGTACAAAAGCTTGGCCAAGACATGGATGGCATGGTCTTTGACCTAACCTCCCATGTCGGAACAAACGCTTCCCATGGCATACTCTTGAGATCTTCCACCGAAGCACCCAAATCCTCAAGTGATACATGTCCAGATCCAACTCGATCTTGATCTTTCTTGTTGTTACTCTCATTGCTTCTCTCGTCGTCCTCGCACATGAAATTATCACGATGACTTGATGATAATGGTCTCTCATCGTCCTTCTTCTTCTTCGTATTCGCCCGGTGAAGATCCTAATCATGCGCTCTCAATATCCCCTTCACCACGCAACTTGTTGCAGCATCATTCTCCTTTGCCTTCGGTAACCCCTTCACCACGCAACTTAGTTTGCCGAAAGCTTTAAAGTCGTCCCACCAAGACACAGATCTCAGCCTCTTCTTCTTCTTCGTATACGTCTCGTGAAGATCCCTCTCCTTTGCCTTCAATAGTCCCTAAACCAAGCAACTTGACGCAGCGTCGTTCTCCTTCGCCTTCGATAACCTCTTCACCACTCAATTTAGTTCGTTGTGTTGGAACTTATTTTTGACAAATGAGTCAGGTCAATTTTTCGGTGACATTTCCAGTGAGCATAATTACCAAAATTAATGTATTATGGATTTTTTGGATTCTTTGTAATGAGTACTATAAGATAATATATTTACTTGTCAAAAATAAAGTTGATTTGAATGAGAAATCTTTGGTCAAAGTAGACATCTAATCAAGACAAAAAGTCAACAAATGTTAATATGAACATTTGAAAAAAAATTCTACTAGTATATATAGTGATACACTCTCAACAATGTTCAATAGTTTTGAAAAGAGGACATGGAAAAGGAGTGAAAGAGCTGTTATGCAAAATCACATACACACGCACACACGCCGTGCCATGTCGAGCCGGGCATGGCTTGGTCTTGGTCTTGGTGAATGTGGGCTTTAGCCCACAAAAGATGTTGATTTTGGAGTAAATACTTATTAGCATATTTTTACAAATATGTTAATATTCCTTAAAGATATTTAACATAATTCGACAAATATTTATGACTGAGTCAAAAATTAATGACAGAATATATATATATATATATATATATATTATATATAATATTTTGAATCATTCATATCATTTAAAATAGTACTGATTGTTTTTATTCTTCCTCAGCGAAACACAGAAGATAAATATTCAGCAAATCCCTCTTGTCTCTACAGTCTTAGGTAAGTCTCGAGAGTATAGCGTAGTTTCTAAGTTCACAGATTCTATAGTCGGGTGCTGCGACTTTAGTCTCAACACGGATGTATCTTCGGATTCTGAATCTCTTCAAACCACCACACTACATGAGATTTAAAGAATTAAGGAAATATATCATATCTCGACTCCATGTATCGTCTTTCCTTAGAGGTTTTATTAAAACGTTTTTACTCTTTATAATCGTTTATTATTGATTTCAATCGTTCTTTAATTCATGATTTTCAATCTGAATTTTCACATTCCTATAATCTTAATTCTTTAAATCTGTTTCCTGCTAATCACTTGAATCAGATTGAATATTGCGAATAATTCTTCAAAAACGATTTCATAAAATGATTTTAAAAACATTTTCTGATCGATCTACAACACTTCTGCGATTGTCTTACAGGCAATCGTAGAACGCTTGATCTTAAAAACAGACGATTATCATAAAAGACGAAAACCTGAGGGCATGGTGGTACGATACTGGCGCTACCACACACATCTGCATTGATAGAGAGATGTTCACTATCTATCGAAAGAGCAAAACTGATGAATAATTATTGATGGGAAATGTGTTCCACTCCAAGATTGAAGGTGCCGGAAAGGTGGTGCTGAAGATGACATCAAGATTAGAGATCATGCTCTCAAACGTAAAGCATGTTCTAGACATGAGGAAGAATTTGATCTCTGGCATGCTGATGAGCAAGCATGGATTCGTAATTAATTCCGAATCTGACCAGCTGATTCTTAGGAAGAATGGTGTTTTCACTGGAAAAGGATTTGTTAAGGAAAGATTGGTCAAAATGTTTGTAATGACCATCCTAAAGAAAAACGATGTACCTGTTTCCAAAAATGATATGAATAAGAAACCAGTTGCTTAATTGGTTGAGTCTTCTAATATTTGGCATGAAAGATTAGGACATGTGAATTATAAGTCTGTACAAAGGCTGATGAATTTGAACTTAATTCCCAAATGCAAAATTAGCAAAGACAAGTGTGAAGTTTGTGTGCAATCAAAACTCACAAAACACCATCTCCTCATGTTGAAAGAACAACCGAACCTCTTGGCTTAATCCACATTGATCTGTGCGATTTAAAGTACATACAAACAAGGGGTGGTAAGAAGTACTTCATGACTTTCATTGATGATTGCACCAGATACTGTTATGTCTACTCAATGCGAAGTAAAGACGAAGTCTTGGATAAATTCAAAGAGTACAAGCTCGAGGTTGAAAACCAACTGGGAAAAACCATTAAGATGGTTAGAAGTGATAGAGAAGGCAAGTATGATGAACCTTTCAATGTTGTATGTCAAGAAAAATGCATCATACATCAAACAACCGCTCCCTACTCACCAGAATCTAACGGAGTTGCAGAGAGAAAGAACTGCACTCTGAAATAGATGATGAACGCAATGTTGCAGGAATCCGGGACACCCTATAATCTGTGGGGGGGAAGCACTGCTCACCAAAAACTACATCCTCAACCAAATTCCACATAAGATAACTGGCAAAATGCCAGATGAACTTTGGAAAGGAACTGTACCTTCGTAGAAATACCTCAAATGTGGGGGTGCTTAGCAAAAGTCTCTGTGCCACCTCCTAAGAAGCTGACAATTGGACCTAAAACGGTTGATTGCATCTTCATCGGAAATGCACACAACAACAGTGCTTATCGATTCCTAGTACACAAGTCAGATATACCAGATATCCATGTCAATACGATAATGAAATTTAGGAATGTGTCTTTCTTTGAAAACATCTTTCCATGCAAAGAGAAACAAAGTAAGAAACGCACTCGTGATGAAAGAGATGCTACTATCTCTGTAAATGAGAAGAGCACTTCTGGAATTTCAGTTGATGAAGCTGTAGATGAAGTACATGAACCTAGACGGATCAAAAGAGCACGTAAAGAAAAATCTGTTGGTGGTGATTTCTTAATGGTATTTCTCACAGAGAATAAACCGAGATCATACACAGAAGCCATGTCTACACCTGATGCATCTTTCTGGAAAGAAGCAGTTAATAGTGAAATTGATTCTCTAATGCAGAATCATACTTATGAGATCATTGATTTACCTCAAGGTTTTAAGGCAATAAGGTGTAGATGGATATTCAAAACCAAGTTGAAAACTGATGGTTCAATTGAGAAGTACAAGGCCAGATGGGTGGTTCAAGGATTCAAATAAAAAGAAGGTATAGATTTCTTCGATACCTATTCTCCAGTACCAAGAATAACTTCAATAGGAATTCTGATAGGAGTTGCAGCCCTAAGAGGACTCGAAATCCATCAGATGGATGTAAAAGCGGCCTTTCTAAATGGTGATCTAGAAGAGGAGATTTACATGAAGCAACCCAAAGGATTTGTGGTCCCGGGTCAAGAACACAAAGTCTGTAGACTTGTGAAGTCATTGTATGGTCTAAAACAAGCTCCAAAGCAAGACATGAAAAGTTTGACAATGTAATGATGTCAAATGGTTTCAGTATAAATGAGTGTGATAAGTGCATCTACATCAAAAGTACTCCTCACGGGTATATCTTGTTGTGTTTATACGTTGATGGGATGCTCATCATGGGAAGTAACAACGATATCATCCAATAAATCAAGACAATTCTTAGTGGTCAATTTGACATGAAAGATTTAAGTCTTGCGGATGTTATCCTTGGCATAAAGATTAGACGCACCTTTGATGGCATCACCCTGTCTCAAGGTCATTATGCTGAAAAGATTCTTGAGAGGTTTAAGGCCTACTCAACCGGAAATATGAAAACTCCCGTAGAATCGCAACTACACTTGACAAAGAACTCTAGTGAAGCTGTGTCACAAGTGGAATATGCAAGGGTCATTGGAAGTCTAATGTACTTAACCAATTGTACACGACCAGATCTTGTGCATGCTGTCAACGTGTTAAGTCGTTACACAAGTAATCTAGGTCAT